TTCACAATATTATTGTTTTTACTGTATTTTTGATTAAATAAATGCTGCCTTGGTAAGCATAAGGGACTTCTGAACAGTAGCGTATAAATGTTTATCCAAACTGTATAAATCTCTTCATATTTTCATAGTCAGTTTATAGTTGGCTTTATGTTTTAGAAAAGTCATCATCAGATTTGGTGGTCCTTGGCATCAAAAAGTTTAAAAACTCCTGATCTGAAAGAAAGCTCATTGTAAACACCTTATCCCTTGTGCAACAGAAATTCATTAAAAGTGTTACGCATGCATTATATTTACAAACGCTTTAGTTCACTGCACCATTTGCTGCTCAGTTTGACTGCCTTATTTGGCTATTCTTTTTGAGTTTGCTCTTTTGATGATGTGTTAATCATCAATGACCTTTAAGTCGCATCATTAACGGATGACAGGCATGTGACTAGAAGAAATCTATGAGACTTCTTTGTACTGTTGCAGAAACCACTGGACTGGTTTTTGGCTCTGACAGTTTCTCATAAGAGTTTGGGGGGATGGGAGGCAGCTGTACCTGTAAGTTCTTCCTCCAGACGTTAACTGCTGCAAAAGCCAGCTGCATCTGCTTCCTGCGCGCATCCTTGTGTCGTTTGTATGCAATCTCAATGAAGATGAGGAAGATCCCGGCAACGATACCACCAGCCACCAACATAAACACGCCTGTGCGATGAAAAATACATTTGATCATTTCCAGACAGTCTTCAATGTGACAAAGAAGGCAACAGAGATTATTAAGGCCTGTTCACATTGACAGAGATTCATTTTCAATTAGATTTTTCGTTTGTTGGCAACATGAGCTTCAGTGACAAATGGTGATATGACAAAGTTGGTTTTAATTAAATGTAAATGAGCAGATACATGATGTGGCTACTACCAATCTGATACAGCTGGATGCTATGGTCAAGTAGAACCCCCTACTAGCAACCAACAGCACAGGGACTCAACGACCTTGAGGTATTTGATCGGTGTCAGTGTCAACAGCTCTTTAGAAAGCAAAAGGGATCCTGTGAGAGGTGGATCATACCTGCCATATTCTCGAAAGTAAGCGTGGCTGGTGCATTGCTTCTGGAGTCACACTCCTGATAACGGACCCAGGTTTTATCCAAGTCCTCCATGAAGCCATTCTCATGGGAACTATTAGTTCAGAGA